AGCAAGCCTGCTAAATGCCGTCCTGTCTATCTGTGATACAACTTTCAAAGAACTGTGCCCCTGAACCTGGAGGTGTCTCTGTTCGAAACCCCAGGCCCAACGTTAACTGTATAAGTCCTACCCTTTTTTGTCTTATCAAAATGCGATACCTCGCAATCCATCTGCTACTCCTCAGCCCATTGCCCCAGTTGAGTAAGATCACTTCATAAACTTAGCCTTCTTCGCTATCCACTATACCACCAATTTTGAATTTTATAGCTAATTCTCGATGTCACCACAGAAATATTTCCAGTCTAATTCTTGCACGAAGAGAGGATTTTATGTTTTTCATATTAACTTAGGAGTACAATGTTTATTGGTTTTCATGGAACAGGGAAACCTGCCAAAATTAACTTAACTGAACAGCTGTTTGTCTAAAACTATTTTTCAGTACATCTCTGCCTGCTCCATCTCATTATGATGTTTCATTGTGGAAGTTCTGTTATTGTCTTAAATTACTTTCAATAAACTTTGTTGCAGCCAGGCTATTTAATTATTTTAAGTGTTACAGCTTATGTTTACTTGATTTGTTGTGCATATCTATGTGTCACTAGATTTTTGTGAAACAAATTTACATGACAAGTGTTGGGCAGTTTCCTAGTCCCATTAAACTCATTCTCTGTGTGGAATTGTGATGCCATGACATTAAGCCCATGTGAGCAATAACCAATCCTGAAGTCTTACAGTAAAGTGAGAATAGGATGAAGATTTTATTTTTCTTTACAAACAGCGGATTTGAATGCTTACCCAAAGTTAGCAACTAATAAAGCTATTGTCGTCTTGTGCTTGTTGCAGCTGCCATTATAAAATGGAACTGAAAGGTTTGTATTGTAATACTGTCTCAAGATTCTTTAACTATATGCTTCCATATTGTTTGCAAAGAATGTCTGGATTCAAGGCTACTATTCAAGAGTAATTGAAATGAGAGTTGTCTTTTGCACCATTATACAGATGAAAATTTAGTTCCCCAGTCAACATTTATTTCCAGTTAAAGATGGTTATACAGCTAAGGACCGCGATTATCTGTTCTTTTAGGTGTTTCATAATACTAGTCCTGATTTAATAAATCAAATTGGACTGGACTGTTCTATACATTATAAAGATTGAGTTCAATGGGTTGTTATTTTGAGCAAACGATAGAAATAAACTTGGAAATATCAGTATGCCAGCATTTTCATAAGGTAGTTTTTTTTTTAAGAAATGCTTTCCGAAGGTTTGTATGTAATATTAGCAGTCTGAAAGAATCAAAATTCAAAGAAATAAATGCAGTGACTTTAGACCGGAAACCAGGGACACAAGCAGTGATTGGAAGGTTCTTTTAATATCCAGTCTGGTAGTGCGCCACTGTTTTAGTATTTATCTGTGCATTGTGTGAAAAACAGTTATGCAATGCACCTCTTGTGGGGAAATGTTATTAAAAAATAAACAACGACTCTCATTGACTTGTGCAGTGCAGCATGGCACATGTTAGGGCAGATCGGAGGAGGGAAGTGAGTAAGTTATGGGGAAGTCAGTACCAGAAATGAAATTGTTTTTAAAAGTTTGGAATACTGTTTTCTCTTCACAATGAATTAATTTTTAAAAGAGGAACATTGTGCAGTATTACAGAATCAATTTCTTATTCTGGTGATATTTATAATTAGCTAATCTTTGTGGTGAAATCTTGAAGTTTGGAAATGTGACTGTTAAGAATGCAAACAGTTGAGCAATGCTATACACTTGCACAAACTAAAGCAGCTCAGACGATACAATCTGACAACTCCCGTCTTTGATACACCTGAATTGTATGCTGTAACATCAAAGTCATCTCATAATACATTGTGTGAACAAGAATTTCTCTAAGAGCTGGAGTAAATAGTGGCAAGGTGTTAACATCACTCGAATAATCCAGAGTCCCAGATTAATGTTCTGAGGATGCAGGATAGTGGAATTTACATTGATATGTCACAGTCGCCATTACTGAGAGTATTATACATTGTCAAAAAATACCCAACAGCTTCACTGTTGTCCTTTGAGGGAGGGAAATACGTCATCCTTGCGCTGTCTGGCCTGTGGGTGATTGCAAACAGAGTGGCATAGTAGTAACATGACTGGACTAGTAATCTAGAGACCCTGGAGACATAGGTTTGAAACTCACCTTGGTGAAATTTATATTCAATAAAAGTCTGTCATGGTGACAACGTAACCAGTATTGATTGTCCTAACAAACAAAATCTGGTTCACTATCCTTTTGGGAAGGAAATCAATCATCCTTAGCAAATCTGGCCTATAATGTGACTCCAAATCCACAGCATTGCTGAAAGGGTCCAGTCAGCCATTCAGTTCAAGTTAGAGATGGGAAACACACACTGGCCAAGCTAGAAATGCCCATCTTCAATGAATGAGTCTTTTTAAAAATAGTTTATATTTTTCAGGGATTTAAAGAAAGGCTACAACTTTGCCAGTGACACTGATCTCCCCTGAGAGAAAGACAGAAAAAAAATGAAAAATGACATTGTAACTATTTTGCCCAATCTAATGTAAGGTATTATATAGCATATCCTGCAACGTGAGGAACTGAATCATTTTTGTCATAGATATTTTTGGTTCAGTTTCTATAAACAACTCTCCTTTGGTTCCACATTTTCAGTCTGACATTGTGCAATTAAAGTGCCATCCACTTAATTCAGGCAGCTCTGGACTCCAGCCATGTCATTTTTTGAGCAGTTCTGAAGAAGTCTTATTGGACTGGAAACATTAACTCCCATTTCCCTGTACAGATTCTGCCAGACCTGCTGAGTTTCTCCAGCATTTGCTGTATTCATTTCAATTTTTTTATGGCTTGTCAGAATTTCTATAGCATGCTCAAATGGTGTGACAAATATCTTCCAAAAGCAATTATGTAATTGTTTCTGTGGAACAAGTGCTCATATCTGTTGTTGACAAAAATTACTTGCAAGTGCTTTTCCCAGTCATATGTGGTCTAGGATGCTAATTGAACATTGCTTCATGTTTAAATCCAGACAGTAAAATTACCAGGTAGAATTATTTTGATATTACTAATATCTTGCTATGAAGCTGGTTGCCTGTTTTGAATGTGAAGGAATATTTTTGATCCCATTGTAGAGTCAAAGTACTCTAAATTTGATGATCTGGAAGGCCACCTGTGCAATTATCCTTGCAACTTCTCTTACCCTTCTTGAGTGAATTTAAATAGTTCTTAAACAGGCCACCAGATGGAGTCCTCTTTGGCAGTAGAGTATACCATTCTACACTACAAAAAGTGCAGCCAGGCCTGGGATATTCCACTGCCTACGTGAATGAAACTGGTTAGACAGAATATTAGAATGCAATAATTGGAATTTAGAGGGAAGAGAGGGCCTGTACTGTTGTATGTTCTATGAAAATTCTTCAAAATGCCTTTGATTGTTTAGGCGATGGAATTCCATAAGCTAGATTTTGTGATTGATTTCAAAATGTTGAAGCAGATACTATTGTTTTCAACATATGTTTGAGCATCTGTAGTATCTAGCTTTTGCATGGATATGAACCATTTCTCTTGGTTCAGAGAAATGCAGGTTGTATTAGTTTCTGAACTGAACTTAACTAAACTGGGGTGTGGTTTTGGTGATGCAGAACTTTTAGTAACTTCACTCTCTGAATGCCCCCTGTAAAATCTGCTCCTCACAGGCACCAACCGTACTGCAACTATAGTTCAACTATCTGTCTGTATAGGTCAGGTTTTGTTGCAATTGCTAATGCACACTTCATAGGAAAAGCTCAAGTAGATAGTATCAAAAGTCACAACGCCAAGTTGTAGGCCAACAGGTTCATTTAAAATCACAAGCTTTTTGAGTGCTGCTCCTTCATCAGATGAAAGAAACATTAAGTGGAAACGTTAAATCCATTTCCCCCTTTACAGATTCTGCCAGACCTGCTGAGTTTTTCCAGCGTTTGCTGTATTCATTTCAAATTTTTATCATTTGTCTGAATTTCACTTCACCTGAGAAAGGAGCAGCGCTCCAAACGCTAGTGATTTTAAATAAACCTGTTGGACCTTAACCTGGTGTCGTGTGACTTCTGACTCTATCCACCCCAGTCCAACGCAGACATCTCCGCATCATGGCTATCAAGTAGTTAGAAACAAAATATGAACCAGAATGTCGAAATGGGTGAGAGTTCTTTTCTTTTGGCACCACAACATGTCCTGTGTAATAAATATATGGAATATACAGCATTTGGATTTGTGGACAATCTGACAAATAAATTAAAAGAAATACATATTTGATTTGGCACAAACCATGCTTAAATATTGGAGAAAGTAAGGATTGGAGCACTTTTGGCAGAGCTCAAAGAACCCCTCTGAAGAAGGGTCACTAGACTCAAAACATTCTTTATTTTCTCCCCTCAAATGTTGCCAGACCTGCTAAGTTTCTTCTGTTCTTTTTCTTTGAACAAGTTCTCTTAAAGCTTGATAATAGTAGTTAAACTGCCATAAATATAAATGACAAACCATAATTTTTGTACCTGTAAAACGTTAAACTAATTTATTGACTAACTATTGTCAAAGTTTGCCCCATTTTGGCTAAAACGTTTAAGACTGACTTTATTCTGCAACCTGACGCAGCCAAAACCACAGTATTAAATACAATATGTATGCATTTTCCATCAGGCTTGTATGTATTTAACTGCAACCAAAGAAAATCATCACTTAGTTCATTAACCATGCAAAGGACACTTTTTATAAATGGCCTGTTAAAATTAGGAAATTTTCTGTCCTATAACCTAGACTTGTTTTAGAAATGCACAAAAGTTTTGCAAATGAAACATCACTGGTTAAAATAACAGTGCAGATTCTCTTAAATATGTTATGTTTTACGTAATTTACAGTTATGACAGTTCTTTGTGCTAGTTGCTTTTAATGAAAGTATTTTGTTGGTCCTTGTATGTCAAATTGGAACATAACTGCAATGAGCATTGAGTTCTTAGAAGTTAGCAGGTTTTTATTAGAGATGTTGGTCAAAACCTTCCAAAATGGCGGGAGAGAACATCCATTTACATCGTTTGTTTCAACTCAGGACCCTGAGGAATCCCCGCCAAGGCACACCCACATGGATGACTAAACTTCTCATTCTTAACTTTACCCAACCCACATTGCTCCATAATTGGCGAAACCCATGCAGACATGGACTTTTTGTCCTATCCCTTTTTTTAAAATGAACTTTCTAAGCATTTTCCACATCAAAAAACCACATTTAAAACCTAAATGCTGTGCATCCTAGGACTGCCAAAGTAGCAATTTTCAGCCACAATCCTGTTGATGTTAGTCCACGTACATCCCTTCACTGCTCTGTGTGCTGTCTACTCCCTGGACAGTACTCGATTGTTGTCCTCCATTCCATCTGTTGGTGGAATTGAGAGAGAGAAGGGAAGGGTTCATGAGCATTTTCATACAGTTAAGAGCATGGGTGAGTACTATTGAGAGGGATGGTGAGGGAAGAGGTGAATTTTGCAATGGGTTGACAAGGTATTCACATTATTCAAAGAAATGCTAGTCTTGGGATAAAGGTAAAGTTGACATAGTCATAGTGGACCATCGGACTACTGTCATTAGAGAGACACAACTGGTGGTTGTTTGACCTAAGGGTCACCATGCCTTAGGCAAGGGGAGAGATCGAAGGAGAGTCCTTCATGGTAACCTCAGCTGGTGCTTGAATTGAACTAATGCTGTTGGCATTACTCTGCATTGCAAACCAACTGTCCAGCCAACTAGGCTAATGTACCTTGAACCCTGGGATAATGAGCAATTGTACATTCTTTATTTCTGAAAGAGCTGGAAATAGTGCATTCCAGGCAAGCCATTTAAAATTAGCAGAATATGGCACCAGTGTAGAAAAAGAAAGACATAGTTTGACTTTCCCAGTCATAAACTTCAAATGACTAGTTGGTTTTCTAGTATGCTTCACTTTTCTGAAGTGGCTAGGATCAAGATTGCTGGCCAGAAATGCGGAGGTTTGTCCTTGGTGGAAAAAAGCATGAGCAGAGTAACAATCCAATCATGATTGCCACCCCTCTGAGTATTCATACTAGTCTTGATATATTTTTTGTTTCTCAAGCACTCTTTCAGCTGTCAGTATTACACTTCAACACATTTAGCTGATGATCTGAAGCTTTAAAATTTATGAATGGATATTTATGTTTGTTTAAAAGGAGCTCATCAGCTTAGTCAAGAACTTGTTATCAGTCTGTTCTATATGTTCGCTACTATTTGGGTTCCTGCACACGCATTATTGGCAATTCTGGCTTGCGGTTGACAGTTTTCTATTCGTATTTCCTAGTTTTATATCTGAAAACTAAGCAATTTAATTACTTACTGTATCCATTTCTTCAATAGTTGCTTAAGGTTGAACTTATTTAATGTTCTTGAATATGAAGTCCATTTCGGAATCACTGCAACTCCGAAACATCAGCCCAAGAATGAAATCTACTTCACTTCTTCCGAAGGTCATTGCCCTTTTGAATATCACATGATCAAAACTGCACGTGACATACAAAACATGATCTGGCCTATGTATAATACTGGGTTAAATTTAGTTTCTATGATTCCTAATTCAGATTTGTTTCACCACCTTATCTCTTTCCCTTTATCTGTCTTGTGTGGTTTATGGTAGAAGCAGCCTTATACATTTGTTAAGGAACTTCGATGAGCAAAAAAAGGCCTTGGCTTGGTGTTGAGCTTATTTTTAATTCTTGCTGAAGCAAGTAGGACTTCCGCACAGGTTTCAAAACAATTAGACTTGAGCACCGTCAAGGCATGCTCTGTGGACTGTTTTGCCAACTTGCTAGCGTGGGAGGCATCTATTCTTGTTGCAAAATTAGATTATGTAAGATGGGAGATCTATTTTGGGGTAAAAGCAAAATACTACAGATGCTGGAAATTTGAAACAAGCACTGAATGCTGCAGAAACCCAATCTGACAGCATTTGTGGAGAGAACCAGAGTTAAACTTTCTAGTCCATTATGACTCTTCATTTTAGGGCGCTGTCATGCTCAGAATAGCTGATGGTTAGAGCACAAGGTATATGCTAAGGTGAAGTGTTTTTGAAATAAAGCCTATTAGGTAAGGCAAAAGAGTGATATGACATTGTGTACGTCATCAGAAGAAAGTAATATTGAATTGTATGTTGGGCTAGAAAACAGCAAGGAAACACAATTTGCAAGGACAGTTCATAATCAGAATAAATTTTAAATTTAAATTTCATAATTTGGAGTTGCATTTGGGTACACTTTTACATTGTAGCAAATATTTAATTATGGTTAACATTTGTAACTATTCATAAACAGTGGAGAAAGCAAATCATTGCAGATCAAAAATTGGCAGAAGGTTAATGTTCTTTAAAAGCAAGTTGAGGGCTGCTAGCAGTCCAGAGTGTCATGTTTCTTTTAGCATGATGTGACTGCTCATTTATTTTTAAAGAAATGTGACTTTTATGGCATTCTTACTGTTCCATGAGTACAGTTGTCCTTTTATAATTTAAGATCATTTGTTATAGTTTGGATTTGATTGGAGGAAACAGGAGGATAAAATACCAAGTTTACATATTTTTCTGAAATGCCTGTAATTAATATTTTGCAATAACTTACTTCAATTATTGACAATAGTAGTAATCTTCTGTTGTAGAATCCTGTAGGATTGTGTTTTATTTTGTATGAATGTAGTCTTTAAGTTAGAAAAACATCCCAAGGCATTTCGCAGATGGACAATCAAACAGTGGACATCAAGCCAATGTTGGGATATTATGCAGGGTGAGCAAAAGCCTGGGCAAAGAAGGGGATTTTTGTAGGGGCTTTAAAGGATCAAAAAGAGCTGAAGAGACTGAATGACTTCAATTCTGATACAGCTTGTAATGAATGCAAATAGTATACTGCAAGAATGGAAAGAGGCATACGTTCATTGAACAATCTCAAGCACTATTCCAGCGTGTATGTGGTAGAGTGAAGCTATTGCCTTGTTTGGACCTTCAGCAATGGATACAAATTCCCTTCCAAGTAAAAATTTGAAGCCATTGAATTTTTAGGGAGTTTGTGGAGCTAAGGTGACGAGACTGATTCAGGAATTGAAGGGATTTAAATGAGCAAAAACTTTAAAGTTGAGGTGTTGAAGTGCTGGTTGGTGCGTGTCAGCAGTGAGTGAACTGAAGTGCACGAAGGGTAAAACTTTGGTGACAAGTTAGGATAGTCAGTATTTGATACTTCAATATGTCTGACACACTACATAAACCTAAATTTGTAAAGGTTGCCAGAGGTGCTCCTTTTTCTCTGTCATTCCCACTTGTGATTTTGATATTCTTTGCTCCTGAAGAATTTTCAGGGAGCTATGTTCAAGAAACTATTGAGGTCATCATGCCATGTTACAGCTGAACCAAATATCAAGTCCATAAAAGTAAGTTTGAAACCTTAGTAGTTACCTTGGGTAAGAAGGCTGAAAAGAGGATAAGTTATTTCTAATTAAAGTTTTGAGAGCTTGGAAGACTGTTTCATTGTGGTCAAGATCTAGCTTTTTTGATAGTAATATAATGTCCTCTTGGTAAGAGAGAGAAATCTTGTCACTTGAACCTATAAATATGAGGTGTTAATATACTTATCATTAAAGGAAATAGTGAAAGAGAGTTGCACATTCTGTATTCCCAGTCTGAGATTTCTTCAATGAATTCATTGTCAAAGCTGAAAGTACTTGTCTGTCAACTTCTCTCGAAAGAGAACAGTCCAAGTTTTTCATCCCTGGGACCATGTTTGTAAACCTCTTGTGTACTCTCTTCAATGGAGTTGCATCCTGGCATCCCGAAGCCTGCATAGTTCTCCCAGCTAAAGTTCACTGAGTATCTTCAGTATAATGTACTTATTCTTGTACTTGGCTGTTTTAATAAAGCTCAGGATACTGTTTACGTTATTAATTACTCTCTGTTTGGCCACATTCAATGATCTATGCACACAGACACATGCATCCCTCTGCTCTTGTATCCCTATTTTGTATCGTTTGTCCTTGTACTTCCTTCCGAAATTTATTGCCTCACTCCTCCATGTTGGTCTTCACATTGCCACCTATCTGTCTGCACCTCCTAAGTGTCAATGTCCTTTTGGAGTTCTGTACTGACCTACTCCCAGCATAAAATGGTTCCAAGCTTTGTATCATCTGCAAACATTGAAATTACCCCTGATGCCGAGATCAAGATCATTAAACACATCAGGGAGATCAACAGTCCTAACATCAGCCCCTGGGTGGGGAGCCCTGCTACTTCCCGCAGCCTGAAAGATATCTACTGACCACTGCACTATAATTTAGTACTCAGCCAGTATTTTATTCATGTTGCTACTGTTCCTTTTATCCCAAGTGCTATAACTGTTCTTACAAGTCTGTTGTGTGGCCCCGCCTTCTGGAAGATAATGTATACCACTTCAACATTACCCTCGTCAGCTATTCTGTTACCTCTTCAAAAAACCCCTTTAGAAATGCATGCTGGCCCTTCCTGACAACCTACCTTCATCGTGTAACTATTCATGAATAATTCCACACAACTGAAGCTTATCTAACTGTTCTGTAATTTGTTAACTTATCCTTTTAAACATTTTTGAACAATAATGTAATATCTGCAGTTCTCCAGTCATCTCCAGATACAACGAGATTCCAGAAGACTGAAAGATTATAGTCAGTATGTCTGCAATTGTCACTGTCACTTCTGATAATATTCTTGGATTCATCTCATCTGGTCCCAGTTCATTGTCAACTTTAAGTATAGATAGCATATCCATTACTGACTGATTACCAATATTGAACCTTTCTTGTGACATAGATTCCTACTCTGTCACCGTGGCCTGGGCATGCAAGGTATTCACTTAAAACGTATTCTGTGCCTCTTGCCTGTATGTGTAAATCACTTTTTTGGTCTCTAATCAACCCTGCTCATCCTTTTACCACTTTTCTGCTATTCCCCCAGAATTGTGGAATTCCCGTTTATATCAGCCACCAGTCTTCTCTCATAATCCCATTTCACTTCTCTAATATGGTTCACCACCTTTTCTCTGAACTTCTATATTCCTTTTAGTTCTTAATTGTAATTTCTACTTGACAGCTAACATAAGCACACACTTTTTCTTCTTTATTTTAATTTGTTTCTTCTTTGTCATCCAGGGAGTTCTGGATTTGTTTGCCCTCCATTTCCATTTTGAGGGAATATACTTTGACCGTAGCAGAACCATCTCTTGTTCAGAGGTAGCCCAGTGTTCAGCTGAATTTTTTCCATTGACAGTTTTTTTAGCTGTATCTGGCCCAACTCCCTTCTTGCCCCATTGAAATCTCGTCCCCACTAATTATTTATACTCTGAATTGCCTATTGACCTTTCCTATCATCATCCTAAGCCTGAATATATAATGAACACTGTCTCCTAAATGCTTCCCCCACTGACACTTGATCCACTTGGCCCACCTAATACGCAAGAACCAAGTCCAGCAGTGGATCCTTTTTTGTTGGACTGGGCGCAGTGCTTGCAGGTAATTTTCCTGAATACAATATAGAAACAGCAGCCCCTCTGCAGTATTAATGCAACCACTATCCCAGTACATTTGGGTAGTCAAAGTAACCAACTTTAATGTTTGTATCTCTCTGTAATTTTCCTGCAGATTTGTTCCACTACATGCTTTCCACTAGTTAGTGGTCATTTTGTAGACTACACCAAACAATGTATTGCACTTTTTTTTGTTTATTAGCGCTCTCCAGACTGCCATCCTTCCTGCTTTTCTTAGTTTCCTTGAGCTAGGTCTCTGTTATTGCCACAATCGTATTTCTGCATGGCAATATGGCAACATCTTTGATCCTGGTGCCAAGGAAGCAAAGTACCGTGCTGGAGTCATACCTGAAGTCACAGCAATGTCCACCACTTGCATGTAATTGTCAACAATCAAAAATACGCAAATTCCCTGTTGCTATTGCTCTCCCTTTTTTCTTCCTCGCCTCTTGTACAGCTGAGCCATTCGTGGTGCACAAACTTGATTTTGACTGTACTCCCTTGAAGGGCCAGCACCTTCACCAGTTTCCAAAGCAGGGAACTACTCCACGACCTTCCTGTTTCTCTTGGGTAACCCTTTACGTTTTGAGGATCCAGACGTAGAAATGAAGTGTGACCACATCTCTGAACGTTGGGAGAAAACTTGTAAGTTGTTCTTGTCAAGTATACCACCTAGAAGAAAACCTTTGGGATTTTGATGCTTTCACAGCTCACTCCAATGAAAAGTCAATTTTTAATTTGTTAGAACTTAACATGTCAAAGAAAGTTACAGCATTGAGCTGTAGACTTTAATGAGATGGAGTTCTTTTACTGTCTTAAGTGGGAAGAACAGCTTTATATGTTGTGGCATGATGGCAGTGTTGTCAAAATCAGTTCATCGATTTTGCTCTGAAACTAGTTTTATTTTTGGTCACAATATT